AAAAGTATCTTCGCTAGCTTTAAATTTAAGATTAATAAAACTATCGTTTAATAAAGTAGCGAAAGTAGAATAGATACTCTAATCGTTATTAGAGTTCTCGAAGATCTTATTAATACTAGTTAACTATCGTCTTTAAGCTTTAAGTTCTTATATAAAAAATAAAAAGTATTTATATATAGAGCTGCGATAGATATAGGCGATCTAATTAAAATAAAAGATATTTAATAATAAAAATAACTTATAAATATAGGCTAATTTCTAGTGGAATTATATAAAATATAGTTATTATAGATATATGGATCTTCTTCTTAAAGAGGAATTAATACTCTTTTTATACTACTTATTTAAAGACTTAGATTTAAGATATTTATATCGCTAGCTACTATTATAAGACTTCGAAGATTATTCTAACTTTATAATTACGGTGGTAGGATATAGATAATCGCGGAAAAAGAATTCGATAATAAGACCTTAGCCCCTTTTTTTAAGAGGCTTCTAAAGGCCTAGAAGCTAATATTAATAAGATATTCTTATTATTTTAATTTTAGTAGGCTTATAAGCGTATTAAGAGATAGTAGTATTAGCTCTAAAATACTCTAAACTACGATTAGACTATTAATATTAATATTTAGTTACTTTTAATTAATAGCTATTAATTCGATAGTTAATATATAATTTTAAAGTTAATATTAATATAAAATAACTTTACTTTTAATAAAGTTAAGTATTCTAATTTAGTAGAAGCTAATAAGATTTAAGAGTCTTAGCGATATAACTTAGTTATATAGCGATATAATTATATATTTAATATATTTAGCGAGTTCGATATTTCGACTAGAGGCGATATATCTCGACTCGCTTAAAGTAAAAGCGAAAGCGGCTTTTAGCCTCTTATATTATTAACAAATTATATTCACTTAGACCCACAATTATTTTAAGAGAGGGAAATATCTTTATTAAGAAGATTAAAAGAATATCTCTATAGCTACTACTATCTCTATATAATAGACTTTAGATATTATAAGATAGATATTAAAAGCCTAAAAATAGTCGTAGTTATAGAGGCGAATAGTAGTTATAATATAATAGTTATTAAATAGAGCTCGAGCTTATAATCTATAGAAATATAAGATAAGATACTTAGTTATTAACTATAGAGTTACTATAAAGAAAAGAGCGACTAGATATAAATACGCTAAGGCGTATCACGTAACCATATCACGTAATCGCCAAGAGTTACGTGACTCGAATTTCAACATAGATCTCTTTAATAGAGAATTAATATTATCTTATTTTAAAGAAGATTATTATTATTACTTTATAAAAATTAATTAAAAGATTTAATTTCGATAAGTAGACTTCTTAAAAATTAAGAATTAGATATTTAAGTTATTATAAAATTTTATTATTATAATTAAAATATAGTTTTATATTATCTTTAAGTATATTTATTCTAATAATAATAATAAGTATAATAATAAGTATAATAATAAGAAAACTCGAGATTAATTAGTTTTCTAAGATATACGATAAGAGTTAACTATATTTAATTTATTTAAATAAAATAATATTAATAAGCGTATTAATAATATTCTTATTTAAAAGATATATATTTAATTAATAGTTATAAATCTATTATTAAGTCTATAGACTAAGATAATTAGAATAGATATTTTAAATATAAATTACTTATTTACGATTTTATTAAGAAAGTTAGCTATAATATTATATTAGATCTTTATTAAAAATAAGTTAAATATAGTTTATTTAAGATTATTTAAGATTACGATTTACACTTATAATTATAAATATAAATAAAAAAAAATTTAAATTAGAGTTTAAATATATCTTACTTAACTATAAGAGATTTAATTAATATCGATTATAAAATAAATATAAATCTCGTCTAGTAGCCGGAAAGATATGATATTTAATATGAGATTTAGGTAATTTTCGAGATATCATTTCAAAAGGTATAGGATATTTTCAATCCCACTCGATATTTTATATATAAATTATCGTATTTTAAAATTATTCCGTATAGAATAGACTAGCCTCGTTATAGAACTTTAAGAATAATAAGATTCTATAAATAGATTATAAAGATATAAATTTTTAAAGAAAAGAGGTAAAAGTTTAAAAATTCTAAGTTTAAAAAATTTCATATCTTTTCGGCCAGTAATCTCGTCTAATACGGCGACGTAATATCTTATAAAAATCTCTTTAGACTTTTATCTCGTCTTTTAGTAATATTAAAAACGAGCTAAGTAAGATATTAGAGAATAAGAATATTATAAATACTATTATCGTCGTTAAAAGAATTTTATTATTCTTAAAAGCTTCTCTTTTACTAGTTATAAATAGTAAGATAATAATAAATATATTTAAAGAAGACTTTAGAGTTATAGCTTAAAATTCATTTATAGATCTAGAAAATTTCGAGATTAATTATATTTTAAATTTATCTAAATTAAGTAATTAGAAGAGTACTATTTCGAATATATTAAATTCTTTTATATTTAATTTATTAAGACGCTTATAGCGTATTAAGAATATATTAAAGAATTATAATATTATATAAGATAATAAATAGACTAACTTCGATATTTTAAAAAAGAATTTTATTAAATTAATAAGAGTTATATTACTTATATCTAATTCTAAGTCTTATATTTATAAAATAATAATTAATAAGTTTAAAGTATTTTAATAAATAACTACTATATAGAAGTAATAGAATTTATTATAGAAGATAAAGATATAAAAGTTAATATTAAGATTAATATATTATATTATTCTTAAAAAAAGATAGATTTATAAGAAGAAAATAGAGGTAGATAATAAAATTCTACGCTATAAGACTAGATATATTATTAAAAGCTTTCTTTAATAAGAAGATATCGACTATAGTAAAATCTTTTTAAATATTATTAAGCTAATTATATAAAAGATTCTCTTAGCTTTAATTATATATTATAATAAAAAAATAAATCTAATTAATATTATAATAGTATTTCTCTATATAAAATTTAAATATAAGATTTATATAAAATAGTTAGAAGACTTTATTAAATTAGATTAAGATTAAATCTATTTACTATTTAAGATACTATATAAATTAAAATAATCTAATTATAAGTAATATAAGACGCTAGTAGAGTTTCTATTTAAATTCGAATTTATATATTTATAATTTAATTTATATTTATTTCTCTATAAATTAGATAAAGAAATCGTCTTTTTAATTATCTATATTAATAATATTAAAATCATTAATAATTAACTATTAGTTAATTAGGCTAAGAGACTTCTATATAAATAATTTAATATTATAAATCTTAATCTATATATATATTACTTAAGTATAAAGATCGAATAAAATTATTTAATAAGAATACTTAAAATAAATAAATAAATATTTATTAATAAGATTTTTATAATCTATAATATAGAGAAGTATCGTATTTCGCTTATCTTAATAAAATTAAATATAAATAATTATCTTATTTCTATACTTAATATATATATAATTAATCTAGAAAATATTATTATATTTAAGAGTAGCTTAGAGAAAATTAACTATTTAATTATTTAGATATAATTAAATATAGCGTTTACTACTAGTAAACTAATTATATTCTCTTTTAATTCGAATTATTAATATTAATAAGTATATAAAAAGATATTACGATATTTAATTAAGACTAGAATATATAAAATAGTTTTCGAGACTATAAAAATAGTAATATTATAATTATTCGACTACTTAAACGTTAATTAAATTAATAAGATATTTATAATATAATTAATAGCTAGAATAATTATAATACTAAATAATAGATTAATTAATTAGAGATTTACTAAGTAGAAAATTATAATATAATTTATATATAAGATTAAATATATAGCTACTTTTAATACTATTTAGAATATAATATAAATATACTATATTTTATTAGAGCTTAAATAATAGCTAAATAAATTATTTATAATATAATATAATAATAAGAAAGCTATAAATCTAATAAGGAATTTTATAAATTATAAGAGATTACGATATATTAACGTTAGTTATTATTAATAGCTAATTAGACGCTAAGATATAAATATATATCTATTAAGAATATAAAGATTAATAATCTTATTAAAGTATTAATTATTATAAAATTTAGTAATTTTATAGATATAATAGACTTAGTAAATAGAGATCTAAATTAATAAGCTAGAATAATATATAATTTTAGCGTTAAAATAAAGATATTTAGATATTACTAGATAGAAGAAGTATTAGCGTATTTAATTTCTTCTATATATATATACTTTCTATATACTTTTATCCTTTTATATATATTCTATTATTATTCTTTTTATATAGTTAGCCATAGATAGTAGTGCTTTATTCTCCATTAGCTATATAATAGCTAATGGCCCTATCACTAAATCTACACGCTTTCTATTATCACCACTGCTGTGCTACGCTGAGACACATATACATCTCTAGCTGCCGGACAGAGTACGTATGGGTAGGCATTGCATTATGCAGGTAAGCTTTGATAAGCATGGCGGGGCAAGTAAAATCCTCAAGCCAGACCACAGACCGCTGAACGGCTTTTGAGCCATATGTAGGCCGATAAGGAGATATGAGACTCCGCCGTTATCCCGGTCCAAGGTTACCTTTCGATATTGCAGATCGATCCCGTGTTAGGCCACTGACTATCTTGGCTATCGTACTAATACCTAGCTTGAACGCTTGCCTGGGGAATACAGTCGGTGAAGGAAACTAGCTTAATGAACTTCACTGTTGTCAAGTAAATGCGGTACTGAGAAGACAAATTTTGTTTGTCGAATCACTACTTGGTCGAAGAATGGCCTTTTTGGGATTCATGATGTGCCTTGGCCTACCAATCACCAGATCGGCCAATCCTAACCATTGGGGGCTCTGGTTATATGGGCTATTTGTAGATATGTCAATGGTCTATGATACTCCCATGTTACAAATGTTACAGGATGGATGACTCTCTTATCCCTTCGATACCATTGTGGGGTTTGACTCCATATTCATGGGTCTTGGTAAAGTTTTTCCACGCCTCTCGTCCACTTTCTGCAGCGTCGTACTCCCAGAGCCACTTGAACAGCTCATGATCTGCACCCGCACGAAGTCTTACATCGCGTTTCTCCTGGTCTGGGCCATCGGCAAGAGCAAACATAGCCTTCTGGTCTAACGTGCGATGTCTGACATCCGAAGCTCGTGGTTTGCGAACCTCCTCGAACACCCTAAGGGCGTCCGGAATTTGGTCACGTCCCACCAACAGGCTGAATATCCCTCCGAGGACTCCTGCATCCTCGAAGACCTGTGCGGCACCCTGTGCGCTGAAGAAGAGTTAGCCAGTTCCATGATGAATGAAGAGACTATGGTTATACATACAGGCATGGCAGTATTGCGTGAGCAGCGTCGCCAATCAGTACGAAGCGTCCACTCTCATGGCGCCATTGGCTCGGCTCATGGATCTGGAACAAAGTCCACTTGGTGCAAACAGACCCTTCCACATTGATAAGCTCATGAAGTACTGGGTCCCAGTCAGAGATCTTGCTCCTGAACTCTTCTAGGTCTGCTCGTTGCGGCCCGTACATAACCTTGCCACTTCCACCCTCGGCATATACCAGGACCACATTAAGCATATCGTGCTGGATGAGGTACGAGACCACGTGTCCGCCTGATCCCATCCAAAAGTTGACGCTAGATCGTTTTTTCAGGTCCCAAGCTAGATGGTCTTCAGTTATATCTGCTATAGGAACAGAGATCCGGTAGACGACATCGCCAGGACTGTAAGGAGGGTCCGCATGACCCAACAGGATACCCCTACAGCGGGACCTCTCTCCGTCAGCACCCAGGATCACGTCTGCTTCATAAACCTCGTTGGTGGACAAACGAAGGGAGGGCTTGCTGAAATCGATCTCTTTGACGTCGCTGCCAAGTCTGACTTCTATCTTATGCTTCCTCGTTCCAGACAACAAGGCTCTTAAGAGATCCGCACGATGAATCACGATGTAAGGGGCCTTGTTGACCAGCCTCGGATCGGACACGGGCGGAGACTGCGAGAGCACGTCTCCTCGATAGGAGCGGAACGTCCCGGCCTCTGGCCGGTCAGCGTACTTGAGGACCTCCTCAAGAACGCCCCAGTGTTGGAGCATACGCGTAGCATTGGGTGACAACTGTATTCCAGCGCCGATCTGTTAAGCTAAGTTAAAATAAGCTCGAATGTTATATCGAAAAGCATGAGATTACTTCTTGTAGCTCCAAACTACGCTCGAACACTGTTACGCGGTGTCCAGTCTGAGCAAGAGCCAGTGCGGAAGCCAGTCCACTGAGACCGCAGCCCACAACTAGGACATGACACTTGTACGCCATGTTAGAAGTCGAAGGGGGTAATTCCCTATAATTCCATAAGAATTTTAGAAAGATTATGACTTTGGCACTGGGTGTATTTAAAACAGGTATCTGGCGGGGAGAGAAAATACCGGCTTGAAATTTGACAGCAGGGCAAAAGTAACTCTTAAGTAATTTGATCCACATGAATTTGTAGAACCCATTCCGCGTTTCCCGTGCTGACAACAGGGTTGAGGACCCTGCGAACTCTATTATGCGTAAGCCAGGACCATTTAGAATCCATTGTGCATTTAGAGGCAACCATAGTACTTCAAGTCTGTTGTGTGTCAGGGTGCCAAATGATTAGTTGTGATAACACGATCCATGGATACACGCCTCACCGGAGCAGAATCTAGGTATCATTGAAGTGAGCAATAGGGAGTATGGAAAGAAATACTGTATATTTATGATCAAGAAAGAAAGTTAATATACCGGGAATATAATGGAATGGGCAGTCAAGCCATTCCATCTGGGGTGTGTGTTGTGGTTGTGTGATGAACCAAGTTTCAAGGAGGAAAAAAAGCCGCTCGATCACAGATCTTTGTGGCCACCTCGGTATGTAGAGTAATTATACAAAGGCAGGGACAGTTTCAGCTAAGCTGATTGTCGAGGATAATTTACTGCGATAGCTAATGTTATTCCACCCCGCGAGGTCATCCTGGGCCCAGGAAGCCTGCAGTAGTCTTTTACAATGATTAAAAGATCGCGACGAGCTCAGCTTCTCCGTCCTGAGGATGACATCGAGGATAACGGCCCGTTGTTCATCAGTTCGCGACTCACAGCCAATGATGTAAATGGGAAATTGCTGTTTACAGGAGCTCAGCCGGGGCAAGATAGCGAAGGCTTGGTCGATTTGCTGTTGCGTCCTAATGGGTTGGTCAATTAGGCCTTCGGAACTTCGATTGAGATACCAGAGCATAGCAAGCTGGTATAGCTTCATCACCAACGTCGCATTATCGCTACCCTCTGTGACTTTTGGTATTGGTAGGCTCCTGATTCTCCAATCCAACACTTCTACGAAGCTCTTATGATCATGCACATCGTCGCTCATTTCTGGCGAGATTGCGCTGCTGGATACTGTATCACATATCTGAGACAGCAGATTCAGCATGGAGAGAATGGGCGGCGGAAAATTGGAAATCTGGAATGTTAAACATCAGGCCAACACGTCATGTAGTCATATATTCTGTGTCATATACGAACCTGCGGACACAAGTGATCTGTCGGAGTGAATGGGAGCTCCGGGGCCCCTTCTCTTTTCCAATGCAGTAGTGAAAAGCGAGCGGAAACATCGTGGTAGTGCAGCCAGTCCAGCAGGACGACCACATCAGAGCTGAACTGAAGTAGTGTTTTGATAGAGGACGCGTTGATGACTGTCTTGACACCGCCGAGGTATTGCGTCCATTGACCTGAAGTGCAGGATGCCTGGTGAACCTCAAACGAACAAAGCAACATCCCCGTGCTAATATGCTGAATAGCCCCTATCGCCCCAAAACTCGGCTCGAAAGATCCTTGCGCCAGGTTTCCCAGAGCAGCTATTTTTGCTTCGACGGCTTGGGATTGTAAGCCGTAGCGATGTAGCGAAGCAAAGGCTATCAGCGCCTGGAATAGTGCCGCAGCCGAGGCCGTCTTCCCTTCTAGGCTAATTCGAAGCAGAATTTTTCCGAGGTTAGTGGTATCTTGTCCAAAGGTAGCCAGGGATGCGGACGCTACACAGCAAACTACACGTGGCGTACATGAACCTGTCAGTACTCCCTTCCAATCTCTGACTAAGCTCGGTAGGTAGCTATGCGGGATGTACGCAACATACAGTATTCGAGCAGATCTGAATCAAGTGTCTCCAGCTCAGAAGGGTTCCAGCACGTTGATGCGCCTAGCAAAGACAGGGTTCGTACCGGGACAGAGCCTGTCAGGTTATGGTACAACTCCATATCCCAATGGGTTGTGTGAACAAACCGTGCATCTGAGATTCGGCCCTGCGTGGGAGACGACGGAGGCGACTTGGAGACGACAGCACGCCGACGATCGTTGGCACCCGGCCAGGATAGCTTGAGATTATGCCACTGGCATTTCTGATTGGATCGAGAGCAGTTTGTACAGTTCGGCTTGATGCGATCGCAACTGATGGCACGACCTGGCCCGATTTAGTGGGCTTACTACTTCTCCTGGAGCCGCGTCCACCTACCATTACACGTGGCACAGCCCTTGAGCACAGGCATGTAGTACTAAATGTTCAGGGTTGGATACCTGCAGTGCATAAGAACAGGATCCGGCGGACGCTCTTATATTTGTAAAGTTGCCATTTGCACGGCTCCGATGTTACACTACCTTAGCGGACATAGGAAGCTAACTGTTTCATGTGGTGGCAGTCAAGTACGCTTTCTGTGAGATGCTCAGGGTTGGATACCTGCAGTGCATAAGAACAGGATCCGGTGGACGCTCTTATATTTGTAAAGTTGCCATTTGCACGGCTCCGATGTTACACTACCTTAGCGGATATAGGAAGCTAACTATTTCGTGTGGTGGCAGTCAAGTCCGCTTTCTGAGAGAAATACTTGTAAAGTATTTGGTTAGTTATGTTGTTAAATCCGAAGCTTCCAAAGCTGACAATCAAATGCCGCACGGAAACAGGATGCACACCGCTGGCAATGTACGCTCTGACTGACACAAGGTAACCATTCTGTTATTATAACAAGTTTGGTAACCATTTTGAAAGACTTGGCAAAAGGCAACCATAACGTGCCACGAGGGTCGGTATAAAGTCCCTGCCGACTTTTCCGCGCAACCCTAACACCGACTTCTTACTTAATAGGGCTGCGCGGAAAAGTCGGCAGGGACTTTTTATACCGACCATTTATGAATTGCAAATTAAATAAGAATGCTTGGCAAAGCTGATTCAGCTCCGCCTCCGACTTTTTGTTAGCGCCATTCATAGAAAATTGTAGAGAACGTACGTGCCACTCTTGTACCAGCTCACTCCATATTTTTGAAGCTTCTGTATAGCCCAAACACGAATACGGTGATGTTGTAATGCCTCGGAATACCGTCAATCCTCGTCAGACGGCCAAGGTGGAGGGAGACTTACTAGTATGCTTGTTGGAATCAGCCAATAGGAGGCTAGGATTTCTACACACTACTAAGTTCCAAATAGATATTGTGACTACGCCTTATAATAATAAATAGCCTTAGCGTGGCTTCACACTATAGATAGATAATCACCTTTATTCTTACTATATACTTCTTTATAGAATATAATAATAAATAATTATTCTATATTAATATAAGATTATTAAGTATATATTATTTTTAATAAATTATAAGCTCGAAATTTCGCTACCGTAGTCTCTATACTATTAATTAAAAATACTTATCTATTTAATAATTTAATATTATAAAAGTTAAACGAATATTCTCACATTCTTATTATATATTTTTCTATTTACTCTTTTATTCTTTCTTCTATAGTTATATAAGATAGCTATATAGATATTTAATATATACGTAGCTATATTAATTTAGATCTAGAATTTTTCAAAGCTTAAAGAATAGAAAAACTATTAATCTTAATTAAAGAAGATAAAGAGTACTCTAAAGTATTACGATCTATAAGACGTAATAAAATAAGAATTAATACTATTTTTAAATAATCTATTAGAGAAAGTTACTATTATAAATATACTAGCTAATAAAACTTATTATATAAAAACTACTATATCGAGGTTTATTAATTAATAGATTTTAATTTATAATACTAAGATAAAGATCTAAAAGAATCTTAATAATTAAATATTAAAATTTATTTATTTAATATATAAGAATAAATTAGTCGAAGTAATAGAAGATAAGAAAATAGTTATAATTAGATAAAGTAAACTCTAAACGAATTATATAAACTCTAAATTTATTCTTCGCTTTATTAAGTTATAAAAATTATAAAATATTACTATAACTAATAATAATAACTCGATTAAGATCTATATTATTAATATATATATAAAATTTAAAGATCTTAAGCGTATAAAAGCTTTAATTAATAGATAAATTTTTATTATTTTATTATTAAACAATTTAGATAAAAAGTATAAAAACTTCGTATATCGTCTTATTATATAACTTGATAATATATTAGACTTTAATAAAATTATTACACTTCTTTACGAAGAAAATTATCTTCTTAAGCGAGATAATAAGAAATAAGTTATAGTTATTACTATAAAGAAATATTATAAGAAATAAAAGAATAAGAAGACTTTTAGAGATAATAACAATTTAAGATATAGAGGTAATACTTTAAAATAAGATCGGGATAAAAATAACGATAAAATTAATAACTATAACTTTAATTCCTTATTAAATAACTTAAATAGTATCTATTATAAGAGATTAGATAATATATCTAAGTATCTAAAGTATCTACTACTATTAAATAAGAGTAAGAAGAGATATTAGCTATATAGCTGCTAAACTCTTTATAACGAAAAGATATCTAATTAATTTCGAAATAATAATAATAATAATAATAATAATTCGAACTTTAAGTTTAAAGCGAATATAACTAATACTATTAATAGATTAGACGATTTCGTAAATTAAAATTATACTTATATTTTAATAATAGCTTATACTATAATCGATAATAGAAATACTATAAGAGATAAAGAGTATTAGAGCTACTTAGTTAACAGCTTAATATCTAAATTAGATAAAGAAATAATAAATAAAGAGCTCGAAATTAAGTCTCTTAATTATCTTTTAATCGAAATAACTAAATTATAAGAATTATAAAAGAATATAGAAAATTAATTAATATCTTAGCTTAATATTAATCTAAAATTAGATAATAAGATAAATCGAAAAGCTAAAAATATTCTTAACTCTCTATCTAATTCTCTAGAGAATAAAATAATTAATGAATTATTATATAAATTCTTAACTTACTTTCTCTTTTATATAGTATATATAAATAATTAATTTACTACTATATACGAATAGATAATAGACTTAGACTATATTAATTATATATTCTTCGATAAAAACGAGTTTATCGACTATTAATTATATTATATAGATATTATAATAGTTAATAAGATTATTATTTAAATGTAAGATCGCGGTATAATTAAAATAAAATAATTATTATAAAATAAATCTAGTAATATCGTAAAAGTTAGTAAAGTCTTATATATTCCGAATCTTATATATAAACTATTTTCGATTAATTAGATTATATAAAAAAAAATTAAAATTATCTTTCTTAATAATAATTATTATATTCTTTAAGATAGTAAATTTATTAATAGCGCTTCGAAGATAAATAATAACTATATTCTTAATATCTTATAATCTATAATTAAGATTTTAATACTTATTTAGAAAAATATAAAAGTCTTAATAATAAGTCTAATATTTAATAAGAAAGCTATCGAGCTATAGTATTATTAAATAAAATACTTAAATAAAATAAATTTTAAGAGATTAATTAATATAAGTAAGAGTATTATATTAACTTAAAAACCTCGAATTAGATTAATATATAAGGCTTATTTTAAGATTAAATCTATATAAAAGATTTTAAAAAAAGTATAATATAAGATACTTGAAAAATTTAATAAGATTTATATAGACTTAGAAAAATCTTTTAATATATTATTTATTAATAAGACTAAGTATTATATACTTCTAACTAATTAAGTAATTCTTTAAATCTAATACTTTACGTATAAATATAAAAATAAAATCTTTAGATAAAAAATAAATTCGATTATAAGATTAAGATAATTCGTCTAAATAATAATATCGAATTTATTAATAATAAATTTAAAGAATATTTTAAAAACTTCGAAATTATATAGAAGTTTATTATACTCTATATATCTAAGTAAAATAAATTTAGTAAGATATAAAATCGAATTATTATAAATAGAGTAAGAGCTATACTTTTTAACTCGAAGTTATTCTATTATTTATAATTAAAATTACTTTATATTAAAGTATATTAAAAGAATAAAAGTTTTATTACTTATCTTTAGAGTATAATATTATATAAGATATAAATAGACGAATAATTATATCTCGATTATATAAAGATTATTAATTACGTTATTTAAATATATATATCTAAGAAAAAGCGTAAGAAGCTCGATAAATATAATAAGAAGTATTATCTAATTAGCTACGAAGATATAAATATCTTTTAAATATAAAATCTAGCTACTCGATAAATAGAACGATTCTCTTATATCGATTTTAATAAATTATAAATAATAATTATAATAATCTCGAATATAGATTATTAGCTAGTTGAGATTATTAATAATAATATAGTAGATATATTTAATATAGAAGATAACTTTATAGTATATTAATATATATTTAAAATCGTCGTTAATATCGATATAAACTCTATTAATATAAATAAAATTAAAAATATTCTTTTTAATAAAAATATTAAAGAAATCGAAGAAGTCGAAAATATAAAAGATAGTAATATGGGCTTAAAAGAATTTAACGATAATAATATTAAAGAGATATCTCGAGATAGCTTTATTACTTATCTAGATTTATATTTTAATATAATATATAATTCTCGACTAAAACGAACTTTTATATCTTTTTAGAAAGTTTTTCTAAATAATAGATAGAGTAATATTAAGATATAAGCTTAAAGAGCTATTATCTATATTAAGTATAATAAGACTCTTAAATTAAAACGCTTATACTATAGATAAGCTATATTAAATTATAAAAATCTAAATTATTATAACTTCGATCTCGTCTTCGACTTCGTTATTATTATTTAATAAATAATTAATATAAGATATTAATAGGCTATTACGGAGATTAATAATTTTAAGTTATTAATCTATAACTAGATAATAGCTAGCCTCTATATTAAATAATAAAAGAAAACTATAAATAAGTAAATAAATTTCTTTATTATAATGAATATTTAAAAGCTTATTTCGAGAATAAAGAATATATTAATTTTTATTAATAGGTAAGTTTATAAGATAAAGAAGAAACTTAATAACTTTATTCTCTATAAAATACGCTAAGTAATTCGAGGTTTTAAATAAATTTATAGCGTTAATTACGATTAAACCTTCGCCTTAGTTATTAAATCTATATTATTTAAAATACTATTTATAATTATAGTATACTACGATCTAAACTATAAGTAAATAAATATTATTATTATATTTTTTAATATATTATTAAAAAAAATTATTTATATAGAATAATTTAAAGGGTATAAAAAGAAAGATAATAAGATATATCTATTACTTAGAGTACTATATAGTTTAAAGTAATCGCTATAAAAATAGTACTTTACTTTATAAAACTTTCTTATATCTAAAAAATTTAAATTAATTAAATTTAATTACTTACTCTTTATTAATAAGAAAATATAATTTATTATTAATATATATATAGATAATATTTAAATTTATAATTTAAAAGAATTAAAACTAATATTAAAATTTAAATAAGATCTTTATAAACGATTCGCTATAATCGATCTTAGACTATACTTATATTATTTAAATATAAAAATTTAGAGAAATTGAAGAAAGAGAATTATTTAAATTATATAAACGATATATTTAAGAAAAGTATTATTACGATTTAATATAATTAATTATATATCTATTTCTATCTTAATAATAATAGATATTTAATTATAAGAGAAATTAATTAATAAGATTAAATTAGAAATTATTTAGAAGTACTAATTAATAGTAAAATCGATAATATACCTTATAATTTAAACTCGCTTAAATATTTATTTTATTATTATAATTCTTTTATAATATAATTATAATCTAAATTCGAAATATATTATAGTCTTTAAACGAGTTATTTATTATTTAAAGAGAATATTAATTTATAATATTATATATAAGACGACTAATATATTAAAAGATTATATAAATACTAATTAAGTCTTAAATTAAGAGATCTATCGATCTCTTAAAGTTTATATATTCTTACTCTACGATAAGATAATTAATTAGATATCTAAACGATAATAGTTTATTATATTATTATCTTATAAAGTTAAATATATAGCTTAGACTAAGATAATAAAGAAAGCTATTTAATTAATTAGACTTTTAAACGAATTAGATATTAACTTCGAATTATCTAATAAACTAGTATTAATTAAAATAAATAATTAAAAGATTATTATATTAATTAAAAACTCTCGCTTTTACTTATATATTAAATATATTAATATCTAATAGTATTTTATATAAAATTAAGTAAAAATAAAAGTAGTTATATTCGAATAAGTACTTATTAATAATATAACTACGAATAAACTTATTAAAGTTCTTATTAATAATAAATTCGCTATATTTATATATTAAATTAAATTTAAGAAGAGCGAATAGAAGAAATAGCTTAAATTCGAACTATATAAGAGTATTAAAATTAATAATATTTCCAGCTATTATTTAGACTATATAAAAGTATTAGAATTAGTTAATAGAAGGCTAGAATTTCTATATACTATTAAGTTTCAAATAGATATTATAACTACGTCTTATAATAATAAATAGTCTTAGCGTAACTTCACATTATAGATAGATAATTACTTTTATTCTTACTATATACTTCTTTATAGAATATAATAATAAATAATTATTCTATATAATATGAGATTATTAAGTATACATTATTTCTAATAATACTTATACTCTAAAACGATTAGATTAGAGAGAAGGTTATAGAGAAGATAGAGGATTTTAATTAATATTACGTAGTATTTCATTATAATTACTCTATTATCTTCATAGTTAAATACTTTAAATCTCGTTTAAATATCTTAATTTCATCGTTAAATATATAGTCTACAATACTCTACTTAAAATACTTTATCGTAAATCTATTATAGCCACTAATATCGATTATATACTTTCGCTCTCATCGATACGCCGTCGATATATTAAAATAGATATTCGCAGTTACGGCTTTAAGTCGTTAATAGAATTCGAGTAAGAGTTAGATACGCTGGCGTATAGAGAAATTCTTTTTAAATAATAATATCGCGTTCGAAGTAAGAGCTAGCGATATAACTATTATATATCTAAATTAGAGATAAAATACTAGAAAAAGCGTATATACTTATTAGCTTCGATATTATAAATGTTTAACTGAGGTAGTAGATAATAGTAACTATTATAAGAGTGACAAGTACGTTCTATACAATTTTCTATAAATGACGCTAACAAAAAGTCGGAGGCGGAGCTGAATCAGCTTTGCCAAGCATTCTTATTTAATTTGCAATTCATAAATCGGCAGTTGCAGAATTTTCGCGAAATCTTGGCATTCGCGCTTGTAATTGTAACACGGCATTCCTCATAGTCATACAAATCCAGACTACGGAGGTTGGCACCAAAAGTCCTGGACAGCGCCAGTATTGCCTTAGCACGCAACGGCCCCAGGATCTTAGGTGCTTTATAGGGGGCATTGACCCCTAAAATGGTCGGCTTCCGGTGCCCAAGTGTGGCATTCTTGGCGTAGAAGTCTTGGTGTCCAGGACTTTTGGTGCCAACCTCCGTACATAGAAACACCACTTTCTTTACTCAAATTGGGTCTAACTGTGAAGCCATAGAAGCTGCGTATACGAGTACGACGTTGTTACATTGCCCCGCGAACAGAAAAAGCAGAAAAAGAAGCAGTCTGACGCGGCCCAGGCACCCCCTGAACAGCTGGCTTCAGGAAAACAGCTGCGATCCAACTCCACCGTCTCCAACGATCCCCCTACTACTCCACCTCGCATCCGCAAACCAACGGTTCACTTTGATGAGACACAAGGGGAACAGGAACATACTGAGGGAAAATACCAGGGCTGCCATAGAGTATAGCGCAGATAAGATAGTCCCTTCTCCGACCAGGGTAGAAGAAAGTTCTGGATATTCTGAAGAATCTGATCTTGAAGTTCAAAAGTCGATTGACGAACAGGATAATTATGCAGAATGGCAACGCAAACAGTATACGTACAGCGTCAAGGCTACGCTGAAGGCAGATACGCATACTGGCCAGCGTGTCAGGTGGAGCAATCGCATTGGTACTGAGAATTGGGTGATGGACAACTTTGATATCAACTGCCTTCTCATGGAGCTGCATAAGCTCATGGATCAGCATAATCTTATTGGTGATCTCTATGAAGTCATTGTCTTCGTCAAATCTGCGTACTCGAGGGCCACCAAACATCGGCTTGATCTAGAAGCCCTAAGCGAGGAGGTCTAGAATACTCGCGTCGAGTCAGTCCTTCTGAATGAGTGGACTAGGAAGCCGGGTTATCATATGGATGTCTTCATAGAGTGTAGTGGAAAGGAACCTACAAAGGATTAGTTGAAAAGACCATATAGCTCTATTAGTTCACCAGCTAATTCGCCGCATAGGAGGACGAGAACAGTTGCGTTAGAAGAGCAGCAAGTGTCGCGCAGGGATCGCAATGAAATTGCTGGTGCCGACGAGGTGGAAGCTTAACAAGCACCTTGGCTTCCAAAGCTCCGCCTAGGAAAGTCAAAACCCCACTTCCTTTTTTTTCTCTACAAATCCTCTAACAGCTTAACCTGTATCCTTCCTCATCTACTTCTTCTGCCCACCTTGCAAGCTCCCGATAGTAAGCTTCAATATCACCCTCAAACTGGTAGCCTCCGGCGCAATGTCGAAAGTGTTGCGTGGCCGCCCGATCACACCCACTATACTCAATAGCATACCAAAGAAAACCTTCTTTCCGAGATCGCAGTTTGCTCCACGTCCAATTGCTGAAGCATAGCTCGTAAGACTTATCAACAAGTGCGAGCAAAGGCCTGCGTGTCTGTTTCTCGGATCCGCATGCCTGTCCTCCTCGGATCCTGCTCGGAGTCTGACACACTATAGTAATCATCAAAGAAGAAGAAGAAGTGGAAGCTGAAAGAAGTGGGAAAGGCGGCAAGTTCGAGAGAGATGATCTGCACGCCCGGGGTTACAAATGTGGGTTGCGCAGTTCTACTGGCAAGGCTTACGTTGTGTGACGCAGTGTAACGTCAGGTCTATCAGAAACGGTAAGTTCATAAATATTATGTAAATATTACGTCCGCGCCCTTAGAAAGCAATATCACAATCCTCAAGCCGCGCGGCGCCGCCACCGCTCCGAAAGAGCTCTTTTGAAGCCGAAGGTTGGCCATTTTGCAGCTTCGATGAAGGCTCATACCTTAATAGCTCTCGGAAGCTGCGTGCAAGACATTCACCCTTGGTGGAAGCCTAATGTGTCTGGACGGCCAAATATACGCTCTAGAGCGTAAGCTGGGCTGATACCGACCTCAGCTCGCATCTGTTGTACGTGAAGAAGTTGTGTTTTCTGATCGAGCAACCTTATTCGGGCCGAGCTAAAGAAGCAAAGATAACAAAAAGGATAAATTTTCTTTTAAAACACCGAGGTTAATAAGGAAGAATTAGGTACGATATTATTTAGCTTCGCCAGAATAATATTGTTTGGCCAGAAAACTTACTGAAACACACCCTGGCCATCCGCAAACGACTCTGGGCTAAGATGCGCTGAGCTCCAGTACGAGCTGAGCTATTCTTAGCAGCCCAGTCAGCTCGAGTGATGGGCTGTGACTTGAAACGGGCTGGGATTCATTTTGCCGTCCCGACGTTGCTTTGCTGGTGGCCACTGACTCAGAAAGGAGGGAGACTCCGAGCGGCGTGGTAATGGACTCAATCCTGAGATTGAAATTGGTCGTAAGCCCAACGCGAGGATTTCGGTGGCAATTCTGAATCAAGACTACAAAAGCAGACGCGATGCCTGTTGTGCCGATGGAGGAAGAGAATTGCATTCCACATCTTACCATTGTTGCTACAGTACGACCGAAACGAAGCAGAAATGGTCACTACCAAGTCCTTGATCGTGGCTTATGGCCTCGCCCTCCTGCCGGTGCTCGTGAGCAGTTCTCCCATCGTGCCTCGTTATTTTGAGAGAAATCTGTTCTCGCGAGACAACATAACTGCAAGCACAGTCAAGAATGAGCTGGGCCAGCAACTATCAAAAGGCTCACTGATCTTCGGACCTGATAGCGCCCTATATCCAAATGCCACAGAAAGATGGAATACTCGAATCACGCCTGATGCTCAAGTTGTCGTGCAACCAGCAGCCGAGTCCGACCTAGCACAAATTGTGAGTGGCCTACTCAGGAGGTTCTTGAGGATTTGATGACACTCCTGCTGACTCTAGTCAACATAGATCAAGTACTGTAATGATAATAGCTTCGAGTTCCTCGTGAGAAATCGTGGTCATGGAGTAACATATACCTAGTCAACATTCTCTGGTATAGAAATCGATGTGGAACTGCTTACGGGCGTTACTGTTCAGCCGGATAAGAAAACCGCTACACTCCAGGCAGGAACATTTATTGGTGAAGTCATAAACAAGCTTTGGGACCAGGGCTTTGTTACCAGTAAGCGCTCTGTTACTCATTGAAAAGTTTCACCACTGATATTGAATTTGCTAGCCACTGGATCCGCAGCATGCGTTGGACTGATGGGTGCAGCACTAGGTGGTGGCCATGGGCGTTATGAGGGCCTCTACGGCTTGGTCCAGGATAACATTGTGCATTACAATGTTGTCTTGGCAGATGGCACAGAGATCGGTGTAAATGAGACAAGCCACCCGGATCTTCTCTATGCCTTGAAAGGGGCTGGTCACAACTTTGCCATCGTCACCAGTGTTGTGGGGAAGATTTATCCTAGGGAAAATTGGTACCAGAAGAGCTACACTTGGACGCAGGATAAGCTGGAGACTGTATTTGAAGCGCTAAACACGTTCCACAAAAGTGCCAATGGCACCACACCTCCCAGGATGGGTGCCAGCTACGGGTCCATCATTATTAATACGTCCATTAGCACAACTGAAGTGAGTACTCTTTTACCTCCACTTCAAGATTATTGCTGATTATAACCAGGCAGTGCTAGAGTGGGGCTTTGACTACGCGGGCCCTGCTGCTGACGCGGAAAAGCTCCTGAGACCATTCAATGCCATCAAGGCTGTCCAAGTGGACTCGAGCGAAGCCTCATACCCCATTATATCTGGAGCTGAGGATACCGATTGTCCTGGCGCCAAGCGAGCCATCTCCAGTGTCATGACACTGGAGTATAACGTCACAACACAACGCACGCTCTATAATCTTTTCAACAAGAAGATAGCCGAGTACCCCGGACTCGCTCCCTCCGCCTATCTCTGGCACGAAGGCTACGCGACTGCCGGCATGCAGGCCATACCTTCCGACTCCACCGCCTACCCTCACCGCGAAGAAAACCATTTGATGTAAGTCGTCCCCGGCCTGTGTGATGGGCACGTCTTATTGTATATGCAATCAGGTAGATTAATTTGTATCTATAGGGTCTTCTTCAGCGAAGTTCCGGAAGGGTCTGGCCTGACGGACGCGGCAGAGGCGTGGGCCGAGGAGAACCGGAGTCTTTGGAACGCCGGCCAGCCCAATCGTCAGCCACAGACGTATGTAAATTACGCCCAGGGTAAAGACTACGAGACGCTTCAATCCGTCTATGGTTATGAACCATGGCGCTTGGACAAACTGCGCTCGCTCAAGGCGAAATACGATCCACAGAACCGTTTCCGCTATTTTGAGCCTATTGTATCTGGTTCGGCATAGATTCAAACCGCGGCGGACCGCTCATTTCTTTGAAGCATGGTATTTCATGGAGGCGATCATCTCATAAATTTGTATTATAGAACTTTCCTTTTTATTTTTTGACATTTATAGACATTTTTAGAGGGATATTTTAATACACACAATCACATTCATGTTTTCTTATTCGGTCGATTGATTGGCCTGGCCATTGACCGGTATGAGACACCGAGTTAAGTATAGTATTCCCTTATCAGATCTGTGTACGCCACTATAAGTGTCATCGAAGATTCAGATCTGAGCCCTGAGATGACAATGCAACCTTGTCCACCGAGCACCAATCGAGGACAATAGAATGTCCATTCAGTGCCGGGCCTTTTCCTATCATGGATCCATCGGACTGTCAATGTGAAGGGCAATGGCGAGGGAGTGGAGAGGCGCAAAGGGTGAATGTAATTATCAAACTCTGGTATACCCAGTTACGTCAATGGATATCTGGAATTGAGATACTTGAGATATAATTCGGTCTCGCGGAGTCTATGTGGATGTACAGCGTACACCTATGTAGATAAGTGTATCTAATTCAACTGATCGAGACCCCTGATTTTACACCCACTGCCTATTTCCGAAATGCGAGACGAATGCACCGGCATACCCAGTCTCGATGCTGGCCCTCTCCCAGAGCGACCTGATAGTCTGGACGGCTCCTTCTACGGGGACTGGACCCTTGAAGTGAGGCGCATAGGCTTTAGCCCTGCCCACGAATTTCATCAACCCCTCCATCTGTTTTGGACTCACTGTGGGTACGCATTAGTAGAATGTCCAGATATTTCAATCTCGAGGACGGAGGTATATACGGTCGCCAAAGTGGCCCACTTCCACCACTCCTGGGCTCAAGCTGAAGACGAGCACACCGTCTTTCTTGTATTGTGCGCTGAACTTGGCCACAATGATGTTCAAGGCCGCCTTGGAGGCAGAGTATAAGGCAGAATTCTCAATGTCGAAATTGTTGATGAAGTCAAGGTCGGCATGACCACTGGTGATGGCGATGACCTTCTTGGCCTTGCCCTTCAAGACAAGAGGCATGAAAAGGTTGAAGAAGTGGATGTTACCGGTGACATTGGTCTTGAATAGTTTGTCTGCAATTTCGTCAAGCTCCTCGGGCTCTTCGCCTCTGTGGATCAAACATCGTTAACCTCAAATAGTAACCAGAGGGAAATAGACCTACAATTCACCAATAGGTGAATAAGCGTCGAACTGGGCGGGGAAACCTGCGTTGCCGACAAGGTAGTCAATGCCACGCTCGCCAACAATCTTGGCAGTGTCGGCAGCGGCTTGCTTCAGGCTGGCATAGTTGGTGAGGTCTCCATGGACGATGTGGACGTTGGAACGCTTGCCCAGCTCTGTTGCCACCTTCTCTTCAGTGGCAGCCTTGTTGCGGACCAGACCGACGACCAGGTTCTGCGGGTCTTCGGAGATGCTCTTAAGGAACTCATACTAGGCCAGATTAGACAGAGGCCATGCGCGACAAGGCAGGCAGACTCACGCCGATTCCGCTGGACACACCGGTGATTACATAGACAGACATGTTGAGTGATTCGAACTTGAAATGGGTGCGAGTTGGTGCAATGGTGTGGAATGCGATTGAGCAATTCCAGATTACCAAGTTCAAATAGCTCCTAATATATGACGCAAAGCATGCACGGGGTGCTTAATAATGACATTCTTGATTAATAATTCGGGTAGTTGCTGAGTCTCACTTCGCATGACACCTGCATTTTCATAGGATTTTTGTGGATCGGTACCTATTTTACCTGCCCTTGCTGCCTTCGAATGTTTCGAGGCAGCGGCGCTAAGAGGCTTCTCATACTAAGGTACCTTACCTTCCTTTAAGCTGCGGGAACCGTATCTATACCGTACTAGAAAGTAAAACCGCTAAGAGGCCGTATCTATACCCTTATTAGTACTAATACTATACTTTAAGATACTACCGTAATAGATCAGCAACGTACTAAACAATAAATAGTTCTACCTAGCTTCGTAACGGTAGTAGATTAATAACCGAATTTTCTATATAGTGAAAAATAAAAAACCGTAAATCTTAGAATACGTATTCTATTTATAATCGCTAAAAGGCGATGAGTTTTATTAGCAATATAATAGGCTATACTTAATATAATTAGAGCTAGGGCTATATATAAATACTATATAAATAGATCGCATATATAGATAGATAGAATATAAGAAAAGAACTTTATATAAGTAAGTATAAGTTTAATATAAATATAAAAAGTCGCTTATTAAATTATTAGAGATTCGTTTCTTCGAGTTATTCGATTTCGACTTATAGTCTATAGTAAATCGAATTATTTCGAGAGTTATATCTTAGTCTTTTAGATATATTAGTTTTATATATATATTAAGTAAATTAATTACTTTAATATACTATAGTTATAGCTATATAGCTATTATTTATAGCTATATAACTATTATTAATAGCTATATTATTTATAATTATATTTATTTATAGCTATATAATTATAGTCTTTAGTTATATTATAATTAATAGTTATAAGCTATAGCTAATAACTATAAGTCGTTAAAATTAATACTCTTTCTTTATTTAGTTATTAAAAAGATAGAGATAATAAAGTAAATAGTTAATATTATTTTTCGAAAAAATCTTTATAGAGAAAGTAGAGAAAGTAAAGAAATAATATAAACTTTTAATATAACTCTTTAGTTTATTCTTCTAGAATACGTAGTAGCTTTTATATATAATAAGGTTATTTTAAAGAAATAAATTTAAGTCTTATATGATATTGAACTTTCTCGATAGCGATCTTCTAATTAGTCGAATAATTATATATCTCTAATAACTCTCTATATTATTTAAATAGCTTCTTATTAAGCGATTTAATAAAAATATCTATTATTATTTAAGCTATAAATATATAATCTATTATAATTATCTTATTTTTAATTAATTAATAAATATAATAATACTAAATATCGATATATTTAATTCTTTAGTAATGCTCGAGATTCTTTATAAGACTAATAACTCTCTTATTATTATCGAGTAGTATTATAAAACCTTTATCTAATACTCGAAAACGAACTTTTTATAACTATCGTATAGTTTATATAATAATCTTATCTTCTTCTATTAGAGTTATATACTTAGCTTCTATTATAAATATAGCTATCTCTTACTATTTTCGACTATATTATTTATATACTACTTATTTATATAATAAAACGAATTTATAAATAAACTTATAATTCTTCTAGTTATTATCGTATACTGAATTCGCGAATTATTTTAATATTTTTATTTCTTAATAGCGTAGTTCTAGAAATATAGTACTTTATATATATTTAAGTACTTAATTTACTATATTTATATAGTAAATAGTAGAGTTATAACTAAATTAATTAAGCTTTTCTATAACGAAGACTAAGTTAATTTATATATTAGTTATAAGAAATATAAGACTTTCTATTTACTTCTAATATTATAGCTAATTCATATATTCTTTCTCTAATTAATTTAATTAAATTAACTTATATTTATTAATAGAGATATAAATAGAAGTTATCTAATCTATTAAATATTCTTTAAATATCTTTTCGATATACTATACTTATTTAATAATTAAAGTATAGAATTTCTAGTTATAATAGACTTAAATGTTAAGAATATAATTAATTAAGTCTACTTTAATAGTCTTAAATTCTTTATAAATTTAATACTTAATATAATCTATAGTACTTTATAGCTTAACTTTAATAAGAATATCGTTTATATAGAGTACTATAATGAGCGAATTACTAATTTATATTCTAAAAGTATAAATTCTTATCGAATTATACCTCTAATTACTAAATTATACCCCTATATCAAATTTCATCTAAATATAAGATATGATTCGATAATTTGTTATTGCTTAGGGTATGATTTAAAAAATAATAGCTTTCTGATATGAGAGGGTTTAATGAAGGTAATGATAGCGGTAAGCTTATCGTCGACTTGATTATTGATAACGGTGGTATTTACGCTGCGCAACGGGGGGGTTCGGGGCGGGGTTTGACCCCCGAAGCTTACCCCGCCCCGTTGCGCAGCGTAGTAGGAATTATTCCTTCGGGGGCCCTACCGGGCCTACGGGACCCGAATAGGGGTGTCTGCAGCGTGAAGTGCGGACACCCCCGGGCTCGAAATTTCGCCCACTCGGCTTTCGTCTGATGTTTTTAGGCTGATAGAAGTCTTATCAAATGCGGTCGGAGAAACTCCCTTATTTCTATGATCGAATAAGCCAGATCGCGGATTATCTCCTTCGTAGTTTGAGGCCACTTTGACAACTTATCAAATCATACCCCAAGCAATGGCAAATTACCGAATCATACCTCATATTTGGGTGTGATTTGGTATAGGGGTATGATTCGGTAATTAGAGGTATGATTCGGTAAGGATTCGTACTTTCGAGGTATGATTCGGTAATTTACCCGTGCTATAATGGTTATTCCCTCTGGTGATACTCGAATAAAGATATAGCTATTAGTTATAGTGGCTGTAAATCTCATTTTCTTAATAATATACTTGAATTTCTCGTTTTAGATGCGGGCTAATTACTTAAGATTATATAATTCTTTTTAAAGAAATAATATCTTATTTTTAGTACTAGTTACTAATAAATAGTCTAATAATAAAATTATATAGATTTTCTTATAGAGGTCGCTATTAAGATAAGCATTATTAATATCTATTTATTTTATTAGAAAATTTATTATTACTATATATAATAGAAATAGATATAGAAAGTTAAATTATAGAGTAAGGGTAAAGATCTTATAGAAGTCGATATTTTCTATTTACGTAAACTCTCTAATAATAAATCTAATCTTAAATTTATTAATAATCTTATCGCTATTATATTTAATCTTAAAAATCTATTTATATATAATTAAGCGTCTATTAGCTAATAGAATAGCGAGCTTCTAAGTTTCTTTAATAATTAAGACGATAATTTCCTTAATAATAGCTTACTTTCATTCGCGAGCGTTTAATTTATAAATAACTTTCTAATAGATAAAAAATTCGATTATAATATTTATAAGCTTAGTCTTATTCTTTATATCGAAGTTATTATAGAACTTATAAAAGTTATAATCTAGCTTCTTAATATAAGACTATCGTATAAAGATAATAATTTAAAATATAAGATATCGATTAGTATAATTAGAAGGGTTAGAAATAGATATAGATATAATAGATTATTAAATATTAATCTTAGATATTATTTCTTAATTTATTATTTTCTTATAAGTAAAGACCTATGAATTAAATTTATAAAGTTAAATTTTTCTAAGTTAAATCGAATTTTAGCCCTAGCCCTAAGTTAAATCGAACTTTAATCGCTTACTATACGTTTTTAATCTATATATAAATATATATATATAAAGAGAGGCGCGCTAAGGTCTAATTAGGAAAATATATTAAGTATAAAGAATTAATCTATAATAATTGCCTATGAAAAATAAAGAAAGAGTATCGAAATATCGAAAAGAAATAGAGATAATATATTAATTAGTGGTGTAAATCCTATATTATCTCTTACCGCAGTGAAATCTTTTAAAGAATAAAATAGCTATTAGAGTAAGATATCGAATGATTTTAATTCGTTTAAATATATATTATTTAATATTTCTTCTATAGAGATCTGATTAACTATAATCGTCGTAGTAGATTCTTCTCTTATAACGTTATTATAGTAATATATTATATTAATATAATAGAGATAATAGACTAAATTATAATAATATTCTTCGTTTATTAAATAATAATTTAATATAGAATCGTAAAAAGTATATAACGTGGGATCTTGGAGAGTTAAGTCGTGTTTTTAATAATAATAATCTTATTATCGCTTAATTTCTCCGTAGTATTCTTTATAGTATTCTCCGTAGTATTTTTTATATTTATCTATTATAGTTTCTTCTCTTACTTCTTAATATAGTGAAGATAATAGACTAAATTATAGTAATATTCTTCGCTTATTAAGTAATAATTTAATATAGAATCGTAGAGAGTATATAATATAAGATCTTAAAGAGCTAAGTCGTATTCTTAGTGCTAAAGATTTTATTATCGCTTAATTTCTTCGTAATATTTTTTATATTCGCTTACTATATTAATTTCTCTTATATTAATTAAGTAGATTAATATAAGATTATAAAGAGTAGACTTATTATATTATTACTACTAATAACTATCTTCGTAATATTCTTTATAGTATTCTCCGTATTCGCTTATTATAGATTTTTCTCTTATTTAATTAAGTATAAGAATATTAAAAGTAAATATATTTATATTAGTGAAATTAATAGAATTAATAGAATTAATAAAATTAATAGAATTAATAGAATTAGTAGAATTAATAGAATAGTAAAAGAAGAATAGTTATATAAATAGATGAAAGAATTATTATTCGATCTCGAACGCGTTTAATATAATTATAATATTTAAATATTAATTTAATTTATTTATCGCTAACTTAAGAGGAGTATATAGAGAAGAATATATTTATTTAAACTCTTTTTAAGAGTTTTTTAATATATTTATAAATAGTAGTAGATAGCTATTAGACTCGCTTACGATCTTAATTACTAGTAATAATAAATTTATCTAGAGATCGTTTAAGGGCGTTAATAGAGGCTTTAAGAGGTAAATAAAAGAAGTATATATATCTAAATCGAACGCGTTTAATATAATTATAATATTTAAATATTAATTTAATTTATTTATCGCTAGCTTAAGAAGAGTATATAGAAAAGAATATTTTAATACGTTTATAAGTAGTAGTAGATAGCTATTAAGCTCGCTTACAATTTTAATTATTAGTAATAATAAATTCGTTAAGAGATAATTTAAGAGCGTTAATAGAAACTCTAAGAGGCGAGTAAAAGGAATATATATATCTAAAATATTAAGTAATCTTTAGATAAGAGATATCGAAGATAATTATATTTATATTAATGAAATTAATAGAATTAATAGAATTAATAAAATTAATAGAATAATAAAAGAAAAATAGTTATATAAATAGATAAAAGAATTATTATTTAATCTCAAACGCGTCTAGTATAATTATTATAACTATTATATTTAAATATCTATTTAATCTATTAATAGTAGATTAAACTTTATAATTTTTATAATATTAGAAAGCGTAAAGCGAGTTTTATAATTTAAGAAATTATAAAGTAATTATATATATTATAAGCTAAGTACTTTAAAGTATAAAACTTCTATATATAAATTTTTAATAAGAGAGATATAAGAGAGTTATTAGGCTAACTTAGTCGATCTAATTAAAAAGTATATAGAACTTAAATTAATAATTAACTATATATATAAATTCAAGATTTTCAAGCTTAGTTCTATCTTATTCTTTTATATATACTAATTATTTAAGATATTAAGAGAGTCTTTAACTTCGCGAAGGCTTAGCGAAGATTTCGATTTAATTTAATATATATTTAAATTACTTAATCTCGAATCTCTACTATAATTTATATTCTCTAAGAAGTTAATAGAAACTTCTCCCTCTACTTAAAAATCCCGTATATCTTTAATTTCTTCGATTTGTAGTAACGGTGTAATATTCGATATAGATCTCTTATAGTTCTTCTTATTATTATCGTCGTTAGTGTTAAGGAATCATTATGGTTTGACTCATATATGTGTGTGGTGTAAAAGATGTTGATTATCTATGTGGTCTGCAGGCAGATATGTGCGGTGCCAAGCCTACGCTAGTGGCCCTATGAGTATCCCTGAGGCATCTCATGACAATTGCCCACAAAAAACAGAGAAATGCCATGTCCTCATGGCAAGAAGCATGCATGCATGTGCTTTTCGAAAAACCGGAAAGGAGTGGAGACACCGGGCTAATTAGTGGTGTGGATCTCACAAAATCTCCTGCCGTAGTGGAACCTTTCGACTAATGAAATGGCTGTCGAAACAAGACATCGGACGGTTTCAATTCGTCCAATTATGAATCGTCCGATCTTCCTCCTGCAGTGGCCCAATTGGTCATAGTGATTTGGCTGTGACCGTCGTAGTAGATCCTTCTCTTGTATGCTCAACTCAGTGATAGTGTGCCATAAGAATGTAGCGGGGATGACAGGCCAAGTTGCAGTGGTGTTCTCCGCTTGCTGAGTGAAGATTTGACGTGGGAGCGTGGACAGTATATGACGTTGGATCTTGGAGAGCTGAGCCGTGTTCTTGGTGATGATGGCCTTGTTGTCGCTTGGTTTCTCCGCAGTGTTCTCCGTATGTGCCTGCTGCAGTGGTTCCTCCGCAATGTTCTCCGCAGTGTATTGTTCCTCCTCTTGCTTAACTGAGTGCTCTGGCTGAGTGGCTGGCTGAGTGACTGACTTGACGGCTTGTAGAGACCTCTTATGTTGCTGGCGAGTCTTCTGATTCCGGTGCTTCTTCTTTTGCTGTATGGCACGTACAAATGGACACTCCGGTGATCGAGTAGCGTGGAAATCAAATGGATTGTTATTATCCTAGTCACAAGGATCAAGACCGCATAGTGAGCACACAGTGAGATCCGGAGATGGAAAAGTAGGGTCGTATTCTCGATGAAAGCCAGCACGGGCTACGGTAGAGGCACTTGGACACACGTGTGGCCATGACGTGAATGAGGCAAGTCTTGAAGCGTAGGAGTTCATGATATCGATAGGCCTAGTGAAAGGATCGATTTGGACGTGGGTTTGTCAAAAGGTACTCGATGACAGCGAGTGTGTTGGAGGACCGGCTTGAAGCGTTACACTATTAGGTGTTGATGTAGGCTTTGCGTAAACGTCTGGAAAGACGCCTGGATGTCCTATGAAGTAGGGCCAGGTGTTGCTACCAATTGTTAAGGAATCATTATGGTTTGACTCATATATGTGTGTGGTGTAAAAGATGTTGATTATCTATGTGGTCTGCAGGCAGATATGTGCGGTGCCAAGCCTACGCTAGTGGCCCTATGAGTATCCCTAAGGCATCTCATGACAGTTAGATATAGTTTTAATATTACTCTAAATAAAGGCGTTACTAAGATCGTTATCGTTTTAATAAATAAGAGCGATATCTATTTATATGAAGTTATAGATTATTAAGAACGAAGTTAGAGTTATTAGTTAAACTCTCTTATAATTCTTATAAAAATAAATATTTATAGACTATTTAAATTAATTATTCTAAGAATTATAAATTCGATACTAAGTAAATAAATAATAATTAATATATATGCTTTAATAGATTATAATATATAGCTTATTTTCTCGTTTTTCTTTTAATAGATAAATTAAGTATAGATAATCGAAGACTTTTTTATAATTTAAGTTCGATTTCTTATTAAATTATAATTTATAGAGTAATTTACTCCCTCTACTATTATATAGTAGTCTATTTTTTAGATAATTTATATAAACTATAATCTCTAATTAGAAGTTTATAGATAGATCTTATAAATTTAATTAACGTTTTATTAAATTATTCTACGATATTATTCTAGTATAGAATATAAATAATCGTAAATTTTATAATAATATCTCGTTTTTTAAGTATATTCTCGACTAACTTATATTTCTCTATATTATCTATTCTAACTAATATTACTTCTCTTACTCTAATTATTTTATTAATTATAATTATATTTCTAAAAATAAAGATATAGATCTATTTTTTTAATATAATAAGCTCGAGATTTAATTAATTAATAATCTTATCGATAAAAATATAAATTATTTATTACTCTTAATAATACTAATTACGAGATATAATCTCTAGAAGTTAATATATATTTAAGCTTCTAGTACTATTTCCTTTAGTCTAGAGTTCTTATTAATCTATTAAACTATTTTTATAAAGTTATATATATTATATTAAAATCCTTTTAATAATTTTATTTCCTCTATATCTCTTACGTAGAGATATAGATTCTTTAGATAATACGCTTCGATATAGCTTAATTATTAATACATTAATCGAAAATAATTAACTTATTCTTATTTTGTAAATATAGATATACTTTTAATAGAAGATTTAGATTTCTTAAAAGCGAATACTCTATTAGATATCGATTTGATTAATTAATATAGACTATTCCTTATATAATCTCTTATTATCGTCTTATCTATAGACGTATTAATAATTCTAATATATAGACTTTCGAATTATATCTTAAAACTCTTTTAATTTAATACTATAATAGATAGTAGATTATTATTTATTTCTAAAATATATAGAATATTCTTTATAGTCTATATGTGATTATCTATATAAATTCGAATAGTTTCTCTATCTCTCGCTATTAACTTACTTTAATTATCGAATTCTATCTTCTTTTAATAAGACTATAAATTAATAAATAATTTCTTATTTAATATTATATAACGAGTCGCTTTAAAGTTTATTAGCTAGCTACTATCTTCTAAAAAGTCTATTATTATAAAGAAATTCTTTATTAATAATATACTATTTATAGGCTCTAGCTTTTCTTTAGCTATCTATAAGTTTTTTTTTTAATTATATATATCGCTTATATCGCTAATATTATTATTATTATTTAATTTATCTATTACTATAGTAGTATAATCTAAATATTCTTATCTATTATTTTTAAATATCTTTAAATTTTTTAATCGATTCTTTAATTTATAATTTTATCTATTTAAATTCTTCGCTTTATAATTCTTATTCTTTTCATCTTTCTTATTTAAATACTTCTTTTTATAATACTTAATTTTCTTATAGCTATAGTATTCTATCTTACTTATATCTCTAAAAGGTTTTTAACTTAATTAACTCTTTTATCTATTATATATAAGTAAATCTTTATTCTTAATCTATCTATCTTATTTTACGATCTATAGATATTTTATAGCTATTTCGATAGTAAGATTATTATTAATTCTTAAGTTATATTTAATTATATCGAACTTATTCTTTTAATAAGCATTTATAATTATTATCGCTATAGTAAGATCGTATAATATATAAACTAGATTTAGATTTATAATTTTATTTTATAGATTTTATAAATCTATTATTATTTAATTGATCGTCTAATTTACTAATTTAATATATTTAAGAATCTTCTATAATATAATAAGAAGGCGTTCTTTATTACTTATTTTATAAATTTAATAAAGCTTATTTTATATAAATTTAAAAGTAATAAGATAAGCGATATAACTCTTCTAATTTTAATTAATATTACCTCTAATTAATATAATAATTTACTTATTTAAAATAATTTATCGTTTAGCTAACTTTCTATTAAATTATATAGATATTAATAATTCCTCTGATATTATTTTAAAAATATCTCGTCTCTCGAGAAATTCTTAATAATCTTAAATCTATAGATAATAATTTAAGTTCTTTAAAACTTTTATTTTAATATATAATTTACTAATAAGTTCCTTATTTAGTTTCTTTAATAAATCGACTATTAGTAAATTATTTAAATCGAGTAGAAAATTCTTCTCCCTCTCTTCTTTCTTCTTTTTTTTTTCTTTTAAATAAAAAAGACTCTTAATTAATAACGCTATCTATCTAGCGAATAAATAATCTTATTCTCTAATCTATTATAGCTCTATTCTTAAATATTCTTTAATAAAATTCTCGAGACAGCTATATTCTCTAATATTTAGAGAGATTATAGCGATAATAGATAGATATAATAGAAGATTAAAATCTCGATTAATAACTAATTAGACTTATAATCTATTAATAATATAATAGACTATATCTAATATAATTAAGACTAAGGCTATATATAAATATTATATAAATAGATTATATATATAGATAGATAGAATATAAGAAAAGAATTTTATATAAATAAGTATAGGCTTAATATAAATGTAAAAAGTCGCTTATCAAATTACTAAAGATTCGTTTTTTCGAGTTATTCGATTTTGGCTTATGGCCCATAGTAAATCGAATTACTTCGAGGGTTATATCTCAGTTTTCCAGGCGTGTTAATTCTATATATACGCTAAGTAAACTGATTACCCTGGCACACTATAGTTATGGCTATATGGCTGTTGTCTATGGCTATATGACTGTTGCTAATGGCTATATTACCTATGGCTATGTTTGCCTATAGCTATATGGCTGTAGCCCCCAGCCACATTGTGGCTAATGGCCATAAGCCGTGGCTAATGGCCATAAGCCGTGGCTAATGGCCATAAGCCGTCAAAACCAACAAGTTTTACACTCTTTGAACGGACTAACCCTTATTGGAACATGCAGGTGAGATCGGAAAAACACGACGGAGCAAGTAAAATCTCGGCTCGAGTCAGACGGCATCCACCAAGTTTTTACTAAACCATATTGGATATGGTAACGATGCGGCACGGAGCAATCAAAATCTTAGCTCTGGGTATGCAGGTCAGACCGCCAGACGGCTTGTGGGCAATTATGCAGGGGAACACGCTAGCAGGGGGCGAAATCCTGGATTTAGCTTGCATGTGGCTCCCACCCCCTTCCTAGGAACAATACCATCTTCTTGACCACTAAGACGATCCAGCCATAATGGCCCTGTGAGCCATGTCATGCAAACCTTTGGTGTGCAGCTTGGGAGTTTTCATGGAAATACTACTTGCGTAGGTACTGCTGTAAGAGCGATCTAAAGCCAAGCGAGGATCATCCGCTAAATTGACCTCTATCTATGCCCATCACTATTATTCCTGCGCCCATTATATCACACTTCTTCCTTCCCAATGGCCTGAAAAGCAACAGCGCCAGCGGGATCTCATCTCCTACCTGTCAGCTGCTATCATGTATTCGATCGAAAGCTCGTACTACCCCTATCTTGGACTCTTTCTTTTTTTATGCAGCAGCTATGTAACACTCGTTCAATTCTTGAAACCCACCGACTTGAAACGGTCCGGTGGCAGGAAGAGATGGGCAATGCCACCAGGGCCACCAGGCCTACCAGCCCTAGGAAACTTGCGGCAGATGATGCAAGCCCGCCGAGGCGGACCCCTTTCGTTCAACAAGTGGGTGAGTTTCAAACCTGTCGAACACAAGCACGTGCCTTGATCTGAACGTCCAGCAGCTATCCTCCTTGATACCGTATGGTGAAATGGTGACGCTTCATATGGGATCCAAGACTTGGATTGTGCTCAACTCGGACCGCGTCGTCTCGGAGCTCATAGCCAAGCGAGGGAAGATTACCAACGAGAGACCCCAGATGCCCATCGCGAGTGATCTTGTGAGCAATGGAAAGCGCACAGTCATAAGGCAAGAAGAAGAATGGCGAGAGGGACGCCGTGTGATGCATCAGCTGCTCAGCGGCTCGAATCTCAAGGTCTACGCTGGCATGCAGGAGCTCGAGAGCGTAGACATGCTGCGCCGATATGTTCGGGAGCCCGACCTGTGGTTTTCTCACAACTTTCGATATGCCACGTCCGTTCTTTATAGAATCGTCATGGGCTACCCATTAAACAAGACCAGAGCGGCGCTGGATGACTATCAGAGGGTGACAATCGAGTTTGTCACGAGCATCAACCGTAGTTACGTGGATTTCTTCCCTTCGCTTAGCAAGCTCCCCCATCTCCTACAACCTTGGCGGCATTACTGGGCTCAGATGGGCTCGTTCCATCGCCGTGTCTTTCAGCAATGGTGGGACCCCATCAGAGCGGCCGTGGATAAGGGCTCGGCGCCGCCCTCGTTTGTCCGCGACATTCTTCTTCATCCGGATACAAGGTATTCTGGTGATGATGAAGAGGCCATGTATCTGGCTACGTCTGTCATGGCAGCTGGCGGTGACAACACACGCATGACGATCAACACGTTCATTATGGCCATGATCACGCACCCAGAAGCCCAGGTACGGGCACGCGAAGAGATCGATCGAGTGTGCACGAGCGGTCGCTCGCTCAGGCTTCCCCGGATGTCCGATCTGTTGGAAATGCCTTACGTAGCCGCTATGATCAAAGAGACCTTACGTTGGCGACCGACCGTCCCCATCGTTCCACCCCACCAAGTCACCGAGAACCTTGAGTTTGATGGGCACTTCATCCCTGCCGGCACAATCTTCCTGATCAATTCGATAGCGCTGTCGAGCGAGTTTGACAATGCCCATGAGTTCCAGCCAGAGAGATGGATTGATGGCTCGGAAGCCAGAACGACAAATAACTTCTGGGGGTTCGGGGGCGGCCGTCGGATCTGCGTCGGCTGGAAGGTTGCGGAGCAAGCTTTATTCATTGCATTTGCTCGTTTGCTTTACTGTTTCGAATTGAGTCCGGTTCGTTCACCTTTGCCTCTGGTCCATCAGCTTGGTTCTGAACGACGGATCACTAACGCATAAGATGTCTAGCGCGGGCCTATCGACAACGAGAGACTCAATCACCAAACTGTCAACGAGCCATTCCCTGTCAAGGCCACCGTTCGCAGCGCCGAACACGCATTGCTCGTCGAGGAGGAAGCATCCAAGTACGAAGCTTCATTCTCTAAATTCGGGTCGACGGCCAAGTGAACCTGATTGAGCATGTTCAGCAATGCACAATGTGGTAGAGCATGATAGAGTATAAGCGTCACGGCCAGATCAAACCTGAGAGGACTTCTAGAAAGAAAAGTTAGCCATGGTCATCCGACTGCCCAGTTCAGTCAAGACAGAAGTCGTTCCAAACCGAAGTTGTATAGAGCTGTCAACGGGGTGGTCATGGAGTGATAGGGGCTACATTGAAGAATGCCGGCACCTGATCTTCGCTCTATCCGGATGATTAGCACCTATACATAATCGTACAAGAGGTCAATCACGGTCGTCTATGCCGCCGAGATTCTGTCCCACTAGTCTGATCAAGGCCTGAGCAAATATGCCGCGTCTCCATGGCCCCTGTTATAGCTCTAGGGCTCCCATCGGTCGAGATGCCTGCGTACACATCCTGCAGCTGACGCTTGTCCGTCTCAGCGAGTGGTGTCATAGAAGCCGACTCAGACAATTTCAAGGTGGCAGATTGGGATTATTCAACAGATAATACATCTGATTCACTATCAAATTTATTTATATATACCGAATGCACATTCTAAAGACCTGTCTTGAGATGGTGAAGATTCCCTTGAAGTGAAAAATCTTCAACATGCCGGTCCATTAAAACTCACTTTCCCAGTAATCATTTTCATGAAACTTAGCAAATCTACCACGATCTGGTCCGTCCTCGGTTTTATGGCTGGGCAACCATACAGCATCCCTTCTGGGTAGACCTAGCTTCCTCTGCACCTTCTCACCACCTGCGTGCGGATCGTTGATTTCGAGTGGGACGACCAAAATGCGAGCAGGCAGGAGCCCGTTTCCGGTCACGTTGACCCATCTGTGAGTGGTCGACTGTTGGACGGCAATGTCGCCGCGCTGCATGGCACGCTCCTCGCCAGAGTCGAGAATCATTCTGAAAACGCCCTCGATCACGACGGTGCAGTCAAGACTGTTGGCGCGCTGCATTGGTGATGCGCCACCTGGAGCGAAATCAACCATGCGGCAAGCGGATCCGTTCTCCACGGAGATGTCGGGCTGTGCTTTGCTTTAGTTCTATTGTCTGTGCTGTGCATCAGGAGTTGAGATGTCCTGACCTCGTTCTCGTGAGCATATTCGATGTCCACGTCGCCATTGAGCTCAGCAGGATGCTGATATGTCGAGTAGTTAATAGTGGCGATGGATGATTTGTAGACCAGCTCGCGGTGGTGGTGATCATCATCGTCTGTGGACAGGAACACCGATTTCCCTTCTGCGTTGCGTCCAGTAGCGTGACGGACGACACGGGGAAGAACTTCCACTGTATGAGGAGTCCGGATGTCGCCCCCACCCAGACTATGTATGTCAAGGGCTGTCATAACTTCTGGGATGCCGAGCAGGGTCGGCGCTGATGTCTGTGTTCCAGAGGCCGCGTAGAGGATTGAACTCCGGTATTCATGACTAGAGCTGCTCGTTGATATTAATATCGACAACAGCGTTCTATGTTGGTAGATAAGTAGCTCTGGCAAATACAATCGGGGTATAGTAGGCCCCGGCATGTATCCCGAAGAAACTTGCGAGACCCTGAATTGGACTGAGGCTTGGACCTCCCCGGGCTAAGATGTCAGCCCAGCTCGCCTCTGACCGCTATCTTGAGCTCGGAAAAACCAGGTTATAGCTAATGCATTGTAACTTGGTTGATCCTACTAGCTTAATAATGCAAGCACACCGAGTATCAACAATTGTTTCCCAAAACTCCTATCCGCCTCTTACTTGCATATTCCTTCAAAACGTTATTTAAAGGAGGCTTAGCGATAGTTGCTATTAGGCCCTGTGATATCACAAGCTTTGTGTATTTACTTAGTTAGCATTTCTTTTGTATGTGAAATACGAGCAACCGATATACTACTAAAGTGGACGGACTTACATGCTCAAATTGCCAAGTATATACCCAACCTGGAGATAATCCTACCTTACAAATCGTTAGCCGGAACTAATGTAAATTATATGGAGATCTATATATCCCTGCGATGCAGACTAGGCGCCATTTGCCTCATTAATGGACGATCCCCGAAGACGTTAAACATAATCAATTACTCTTTGTTGTCCTTTCCGGAACTCATCTGTTCTTTTTTTCAAGGGCTTAGACTATAAATAATGTTAGATGCTGATGTGATAGAGCTTTCACTATGGCTTCTTTAATCACTTCGAACGGTGTGGGCCACGTGGTCGAGGCTCTACCTATCCTGGATGAGGTCAATTAAGAGATCCGTTCTGATAGTGAGGACCGAGCCTTCTGGTGGGAACCCATGTCCGGAACTCTGGCCACGCTCCTCCAGGCAAATCAATACAGCGATGAAGCGCAACGCCACTATCTCCGTTGGTTTTATAAATGGGTTCCCCCGGCTCTGGGGCCACGTCTTATCAACGGCAAACCCTATTACGGTTCATGGCTTACTCATGATCTGTCGCCCTTCGAGTTTAGTATCAACTGGAAAGAGAAGAGTCGCAAAAAAATCCTCCGCTTTACCTTTGAACCAACTACGAAGCAGGCAGGGACAGCCACCGATCCCATTAACCAGCTGGGGACAAAAGAGTTTATGAACACAATCTCGAAAGACGTGCCGGGTCTGGATTTAACACGATTCAATCAGTTCCTCGAGGCAACCAACGTACCCAGCGATGGCGTGGACGATGCCATAGCAAAGCACCCACCGAACTTCCCACGGTGCCGCGCCGTCGTCGCCTTCGACCTGGAGCACTCCGGCGACCTCATGGTCAAATCCTACTTCCTGCCGCACTGGCGCGCGCTTCAGAGCGGGATCCCGGCCAAGACCATCATTTAGCGTATTCAAAAACATCTGGAATGCTTGGCACCGGAGATCTTTCACACCACACACCCAAATTCGTACTGTAGCATAGAAATCTCTCCGCAAAATCATTCAAATCAAGTAGCCACATCGCAAATAGTCGCATTTAACCAATTTTGAAGCTATATAACCTCAGCTATACCTCCCAAACGCACCAATAACGCAGTAGCCACCGAACCGCCGCCGTCGCCGCCCCTCAGTCGCCGTCGTAGTAAGAACTACCCCCCCATAACTACTAAAATAGCCTCTACTTAAGAAGCTCAGAAACAGATAAATAAGGGGCTGAGTGTTAGTAGCAGCCCCTACGGGGGCCCTACGGGGGCCCTACGGGGGCCCTACGAAGGCCCTGCGGCCAAGTATTTAGGTCCAAATAGGGGTGTCTGACTGTCAAGCGCAGACACCCCGAGACCAGGCTTTCTTAGCTGAGTTGCTAACACTGAGGAACATACCAAGACTTCAGTATAGCTTTATCTTTTTATTTGGCACCTATATTAACGATAGCAGTGTTATTAAATAATTTTGCGGAGAGATTTCTATGCTACAGTACGAATTTGGGTGTGTGGTGTGAAAGATCTCCGGTGCCAAGCATTCCAGATGTTTTTGAATACGCTAAATCTCCGACGCGGTCCGGGCATGCAACGGGCCGGACGGGTTGTCGTACGATGGATCGCTGGATGCCATCATGTCGTACCTGTCGACGTTCGAAGGGCAGGAGGACGCGCCGCTGGCCTGGCTTCTCTCCAACGACTGCGTGGCCGACACACCAGGGATGCGCCTCAAGGTCTACATCCTCTCCGAGGCTGACTCGCTCACCAAGCTCAACGAAATGTTCAACCTGGGCGGCCGCCTGAAGGACGCCCACATCACCGCCAGTTTCGAGGGCATCCGCGAGTTATGGTATCACCTGTTCGGCCTCAGCGGCTCGGACCTAACCGCCAACGACAAGGTCTACGTCGACAAGATGAAGTGCGTTTTCGTCTATGAGATGCGCTCCACGCACGGCTCGGAGCCCGACCTCGATGTCAAGCTCCACATTCCAATGTGGCAGCTCGATAAGTCGGATGGGCAGCTCAGCGAGGTGATGGCTTCTTGGTTCGAGAGCCATGGTCATCCTGATCTCGCCGCCAGGTATAAATCCGACTTGAACAAAGCATTGTACGTCTCACCCTTTTCTTCCTTTCCCCACCTTATTGTTTTTTCATCAAGTTTGCCCAAAAGCTAACATGTCGTTTCAAAGTCCCAAGCACGGAATTACAGAAAATATGGGTGTAGGAACCCATACTTGGATGTCCATCACCCACACGCCGAAGACGGGGCTTTACATGACTATGTATCTCAGCCCGAAACTCCCCGAAGTCTACTACTGAGTAGCTGCCGGGTGTAACGACTCGGATCGTACTTGCCACTGCTCACTGATCATACATGCTTGCACGCGTGCATAGTATGACTCGCGATGGTGGTTCATTGCTAGAAGGTAGAAACATCTTGATGAACGTATTTGCTCCCATCTAAAATTAATTGGTGCTCATTTTAAATCTATCAAACCCCCCCACCCTTCCCCCCCCGGTCAAGCTGTGGAAGCAGATATTGAGATGTTTTATCTGTCCGCTCTAGTTCTCATTTTAGATCCACATGCGACTAGGTGCCTGAGCTAGTCAGTCAGAATCCATACTTCTTGGACCAGAACTCAGCAAAGAGCCCAGCTGAGATCGAGGCGCCGACATAAGCACTTCCACGACCAAATGCCCAAGCGCAACTAGCGCCATCTTCCAGGTCGGTAGCCCAAATCATCCATGACAACAGCAAAGCATCGCCGCCACATGTTATGGCATAGTATGGTCCACCAAACCCTGCTAAACGGCCTGCCAATACTAAACAGTATACTTGCGCCAGAGTTGCTACGTAGAGGGCTGGTTTTGTTCCCTTCCTTCCGAGTCGAACGGCGAGTCCTTTGACGCCAGCTTTCAGGTCGTCGAGGTAGTCCTGATGAGCGTAAAGAGTGTCAAAAACGACAGACCAGAGAATCCCAGCGGTGTATAGAAATGCAGCTGCCTGGGCCTCGGGTGACTGAACGATCTTGGACACGCGCCCTGAGAATTCCAACGACGAGTCCAGTAGAGGGGCTAACGGATCCTTGGCGAGCATCCCAGTCACCAGAAAGATGGCATAAGATAGGCCAAATCCCAGCTCGACTTGAGGGAAGTCTGTAAAGCGCTTCAGCAAGGGATAGATAAACAAGAACACGCTATCTATGGCGGCGTGAAACAATATCGAATAGCCGTAAGGGTATAGGATGCAGGCTCCGATAGCAATCAGTGCGGCTGTGAAGAAATGCGCCTGCGATGTTGTGACGGCACCGCGCGGAATGGGTCTCACTCGGCAGCGAGCGACCTGGCGGTCAAAGTCCTGATCAAGGTTGTCATTCCACGTACAGGTAATACCGCGGAAGACGGTGGCCCATAGACCCAGATACGCTGCGAGGACGACAAGAGATTTTAGATCGATATCATTGGAGAATGGGCGAAGATTGATGGCAAATCCAAGTCCTATCAAATAGTGCCAGTAGAAGGCCCAGAACCCCGACAGACGGTCGAGACGCATGAGCTCGGCGTATGGAACCCAAGCATCTGGTATGAAGTGAAAGAGGCCATGATTTGGCTTGCGGTAGCCTTTAACGGCGTCCATGGCGTCGCGGGAGTGGTTCTGTCCGGGTTATGATGGCGTGCGACTGCCAGAGATCGCGATTCAAGAGAAATGGTATGGAAATTGGGTAATGTGTGCGATTTATATAGACCTGGGGATCGGGATGGGATGGGGGGCTCGTTGCAGTATTGAATTTTAGAAGCTGGAACTGTCATAACCTTTATTTCTCATGGTGATATCCTCTCTCTCTCTCGAGAACAGCAGGCGAAAGGATTACATGGCTTGCCGCGAAAACCATTTCCCCCCCATGAAGGCTGCGGAGAAGTGGGATGGTGAGTTGCCTCTCGGTACCTTTTTGATCTCACCTGCATGAAAACGAAGCCGTAGTCCTAGCGTGTCTTATCAGTAGTAGATTTACCCGCTGGGAACGGAAATTCTCGGGATCGTCGGAGGGTACATCCACCGCCTTTGTACACCGGCTTGAAGAAATCTGTGCTTGATGCTACGCTAGAAGGATGTCTGTTCCATCACCACCACCAGGGGGTGCGATAAGTGAGTAAGGTAACTAGGCCGGATTTGGACTGAGGAGTGGGAGTGTATTTTTCTGAAGGAAATCTAGGCTAGAGTAGATGAGATGCCTGAGCGATGTGCTTGGCTAGTAAATAATGGTGGTAAGGGCATTAAGTCGGCGACATGGTAATCAAGTAGCATGGGAATGTAGCCATTCAATGCTGGAGAAGCTATGTCCAAATCCGGCCTAGTTACCTTACTCACTTATCGCACCCCCTGGTGCCACTGGGAAGCTCCGAGCTGACGATGTAAGTCTAATCGATACAATGCTGCTGTGACACACCATTTATAATCGGCGAAGCAATTATAAGCACGAATACACATAAATTTCAAGCAGATCCCCGCTATATAGCTTGGAGCCTTGACGTCTGTTCCGTTGCCACCTCCTCATTGTCAATCGATTTTAAAATGGTGTGGGCGTGGCAACTCTGGCCGTCGCCTCGACCGCGGCGCCGCACCGCGAATACCTCCCAGGAGTCCTTTGTTACCTCTGGTAATGCAGCGCTATATGAGACAGTCTCAAAGCCTGGAGGTCTTTGGGCCATCAGAGAGACGCATCATATAGAAAACCCTGTTGTTAAGGCCGGACTATCTGGACCTCCATTGTAAGCGACAAGGATCATATCAGAATATTCAAGAAACGATATCTGATTGGCTGATATGGTAGACATATACATCTTCGACAAGACGAATACTTCAAGGTCGAGCAGGGTACATTGGGTATAATCACGGACGGGTTGGAACAAGTACTCACCAACGACGATGCAGTCCTGTTCATACCTGCTGGCACGCGGTAAGTTTGACCCTGAAAAGGATGTCCCACATATCTACTTAAAGAGCCACTGTGACTGACCGAAAGCCGCCTCGGACTTGCAGCCATCGCTTCTGGAGCCACAAATCAGCTTCCGAGAATCTCGTCTTCTCCGCCTGGGCAGATCCCTGCAAGGACAGGGACCACATCATTGACGTGAACTTCCTGCGCAACGCTGTGGGCTACCTCGCCGATTGTGAGAGAAACGGCCTGCAGCCATCGCTTTTCCAGCTCGTTCTGTTCTTTCACAACGCCTCCTCCCTCCTGTCCCCGGAGATTTGTGATTGGATGCCGATCTGGCTACTCGTTTGGATGCACATCGCAGCGGCCTGGATCGCAGAGACTTTGTTGGGGTAAGCGTGCGGTTCCTACGGTCGACTGACATCTGCTTCCTCATGTCTATGCTGGAACTAGCTAACCCTCCGTCTATCTCAGGTACGAGAGGTGTTACCCTGAGTACACCAAATAATCGGAAAGCGTTTAGTTAGTTGCCAGAAAAATAGGGAGGTTTAGCAATGTGATTCAAAAGAATGATTCAAAACGAAAAGGGTAATAATCCAATAGGCTAACCATATAGAGTAGTTATTAGCCTCGTCGATCACCCACAAATTGAATCACTGTTTTATATTATGAAACAGTGATTCAATTGCAAAGTTGCCCTATACGGCGTTAGCGTAACTGCTTATTTAGACATACAAAATTAAAAGAATATTGCGGAGGCAGTCAGCAGCAGCGGTGACACAACAGACCTACTCTCCACGATCTCACATTAATCCACTCAGTCAGCTACTCAGCCAGTCACTCAATCTGATATTCTGCAAGAGGAGGAATAATGCACTACGGAGAGAACTGCGGAGATAGTCAGCAGCAGCAGTAACACAACAGACCTGCTCTCCACGATCTCACACCAATCCACTCAGCCAGCTACTCAGCCAGTCACTCAATCTGATATTCTGCAAGAGGAGGAATAATGCACTACGGAGAGAACTGCGGAGACAGTCAGCAGCAGCAGTGACACAACAGACCTGCTCTCCACGATCTCACACCAGCCCGATACTCAGTAAGAGGAGGAACCACTGCAGCAGGCAAATGCGGAGAACATTGCGGAGACAGTCAGCAGCAGCAGTGACATAACAGACCTACTCTCCACGATCTCACACCAGCTCGATACTCAGTAAGAGGAGGAACCACTGCAGCAGGCAAATGCGGAGAATACTGTGGAGAAACCAAGCGACAGCAAGGCCCCCAGCACCAAGAACACAGGCCTGCTCTCCAAGATCCCACGTCATATGCTCTCTACGATCCCACGTCAGATCGCCACTCAGCAAGCGGAGAACACCACTGCAACTTGGCCTGTCATCCCCACTACGTTGATATGATACATCACTGCAATAACGACACAAGAGGAGGATCTACTGCGACGATATCTCGACAGCCATTTCATTATTCGAAAGCTTTCACTGCGGCAGGAGAAATTGTGGGATTCACACTACTAATTGGCCCGGCATCTCCATTCCTTTCTGGTTTTTCGAAAAACACACATACATGTATACTTCTTGCCGTGAGGACATAGCGTTTCTCTGTTTTTTGTGGGCAATTGTCATGAGATACCTCAGAGATACCCATAGGGCCATGGCCCCATCATTGGAGGAGTTCATAATGTATATATGTGGTGAAAGAAGAAGAATAAGTGAAATTCAAAGAGATTTGTGACTCTTCGGCAAAGGTTTCGCCGAAGTCCGTGATATTACCCAATCGGGTTAGCGGTAGAAGGGTAGGGCTGTTCCCGTTTTGAATCATTTCTTTTGAAAAAACTGCTAAACCTCTCTAGAAAAATCGTCCTAGCAAATAGCATGTCGCGTTGAGGCGTTTTGGAATGAGTCGCTAGGTTCAAAGCCACATCCCTGTTAAGGTCCTACTGCCCGAGCAAGAGTTCCTAGGTGGCTCCTGAAGAGAGATCAATTCGCAGAGAGTAGCAACAATAAGGTAGCAAGTATATTCCAATAAGTAGGATGGAGACATCTGGATATAGACTCTTTGAACCTTGATCGCAACAGTGGGACTGTGGGTTAGTGGGTCCTAGTGCTGTCTCGCTTACCGTCCCATAAAAACTATACGCATAAATAAATTCTAAACGATAATTAGCTAGATCTTGAGACTTAGTAATATATAGATAATAGTCTACTATATAGCTTAGCTTTAGAAAAACTTTCTTTATATAAAATAGAAGATTTAAAATCTAAATATAAAGAAATATTAAAAAAATAAGATGTGAATAAATAGAAAAAGTTTAAAACCTCTTTTTATAATAAGAGAAATAAGAATAAAAAGTAAAAAATAAAAGAAATATCGTCTATTTAAGACTTTTCTAATATAATAATCTCGATAGTTCTATTATAAGTATATAAGTTTAAGTTTATAAATTAAATTTATAAAAAGTAATTAATTTTTAAATCTAATCTCGAGATTGAATTCGACTCTCGAAGAGTGAAAATATTTTAATTTAGGATTTACTTAAAACTATAAGATCGAATTTTATAATTTTTAAATTATTTAAAAGCGAAAGTTATATTCTATAATTTAAAAAAAAATTAAAAGACTTTAATAGAAAAAAGAGAAGTTATAATAATAATTAGTATATATAAAAGAATAAGATAGAGCTAAGCTTAAAAACCTTAAATTTATATATACAGTCAATTATTAATTTAAGTTCGCTACGCTCTTTGATTAGACCGACTAAATTATCGCGAATAAATAAATTAGCGTCCGCAATTATCAAAATCTCGCCCTTCCGCGCCTTCCTTATTAAAAAAATAGGTATATATTATTAACACATAGAATAACTTTTTTATTTTCTATTAAAATTTTGAGATTTTTTTTTCAAATTTTGAAACGCTATTTATGCTTTCCGAAATTTTAAGAATTTCGAAATTTAGTCTTATAATTATTAAAGCGCAAGGAATTCAAATATCGCTCACTAAAGTTCGCTCGACAGTCGGACAGTCTTAATCAGGTATACATTATTTGATTTTAGAATAACCTTTTTATTTTCTATTAAAATTTTAAGATTTTTTTTGAAATTGTAGAACGAAATTCGAGCTTTTAGAAAAAAAAAGAACTGCTAAATTTAGTTCTATAGTTATTAAAGTATAAGGAATTTAAAGATCGCTTATCTACTTACTCGATAGCTCTAATCAAAAAAAAAATTATGAATTTAATTCATAGGCCTTTACTCGTAAGTTTATAAAGAGTTAATTCAATTTAAATTAATTTAAATTTAAATAATAAGAAGTTAATTTTAATATCTATTAAAGTTTATTCTTATTATTTTCTTTTATTTTTTCTTTTATAATTTATAGAATTTTTATTAATTTTACGATTTTTACGATTTTACGATTTTTTAATAAGGGAGATTTATGAATTCGAATCGAGAACGAAGCGAAATAGTTTCGAAATTTATTGAAATTATTACTACTCGACTATTTAAGTTTATATTAAAGAATATTTTTAATAAAGTAGATAAGCTTTTAATAAGCGATATTTAAATTCTTTATTTTAAAATATTTATAAAACTAAATTTTATAATTATTTTTTTATTTAAAAGCGTAAAAAATATTCTATAATTTCAAAGAAAAATTCTAAAATTTTAATAGAAAATAAAAAAGTTATTCTAAAATTAAATAATATATATCTATTTTTTAATTAAGACTATCGAGCGAACTTTAATAAGCGATATTTAAATTCTTTATCTTTAAATATTTATAAAATTAAATTTAATAATTTATTTTTTATTTAAAAGCCTATATTATATTCTATAATTTTAAAAAAAAATTAAAATTTTTTAATAGGAAATAAATTAGAGCTATCGAGTAAACTTATTACGAAAAAGTATATCTTATCGTAAATCGTTACGTTAAAAAAGCGTAGACCTCTATCTAAATAGTAGAAATTCTCTAAAGTATACTAAATTCGTAATAATTATATACTTCGAAAAATAACGTATATTTCTATACGCTAATCTATACGTATATTATATTTAGAATCTCTTTAAATATAACTCGTAAACTACTTATAGTCTAATGCGTATAGCTTTAAAAAGATATAAAAGTTATAAGTTTTTATTAAATTCGAGTATAGTTAAGTAATCTATTTAGACTATTCGAGTTATACTCGAAATTAAATCGATATTACTATTATTTATTACGAAAAAGCGTATCTTATCGTAAATCGTTACGTTAAAAGAGTATAAATCTCTATCTAAATAATAAGAATCTTTTAAAGTATACTAAATTCGTAATAAAACTTTAATAAGCGATATTTAAATTCTTTATCTTTGAATATTTATAAGACTAAATTTAATAATTCTTTTTTTATCTAAAAGTCTATATTATATTTTATAAGTTTAAAAAAAAATCTTAAAAATTTAATAGAAATAAAAAAAGTTATTCTAAAATTAAATAATATATATCTATTTTTTAATTAGAACTATCGAGTAAACTTTAATAAGCGAACTTTAATAGACGATATTTAAGATTCTTATTCTTTAATAATTATAAGATTAAATTTTATAATTTTTTATTATTAAAAAGCGTAAGTTGCGAGTTATAAATTAAAAAAAATCTAAAAATTTTAATAAAAAATAGTAAAGTTATTAAAGGATTAAAAGTAAGATAAGAGATTTTAATAATTACGAACGCTAATTTATTTATTCGCGATAATATAGTCGATCTAATTAAAAAGCGTAGCGAACTTAAACTTATAATTAATTATATATATAAATTTAAGATTTTATAGCTTAATTCTATCTTATTCTATTATATATATTAATTATATCTCTCTCTTATTAGCTCTTAATTAAACTATAATAATTAATATTATCTTATTTAATATTTTATAAAAATTATATATATAAATAAATTTTAAATAATAATTAGCTAAGTTTTAAAACTTAATAATATATAAATAGCGATTTACTATATAACTTAACTTTAAAAAAACTTTTAAAATAAATAATTTCTATCTAATAGAAATTAGTTAGCTTTAAATTAAATAAAAATATTAAAAATAATATAATATAATAAGAATATAAATTAAATAAATTTCGATATATAAGTAATATCTTATATTAGTTAGACTTTTAATATTTAGATTAATATTTCTCGCGAAGATAGCGATCTCTTTTTAAAAGAAGTATTCTAAATAATAATTTAAATAGTTAAATATATATAGAGTACTACGTAGTATAATAATAATATATTATCTTATAAAGATCTTATTTAAATTAAATAATAGCGATAACTTATTAATAGAAAAACGAGTAAATAAATTTTATAGCGAATAAATAAGATAAGTATTATTATTTATAGCGGTAATAGATAGCGTAATCTCTCTTCTAAATGATTTATTTTTAAGAATAATAGTAATAGCTTTATATAGTCGCTATAAAGCGTAATAAAACATTTAATAATA